CTTAGTTTCTCGGTGTATATCTGCGTGGGTAATATGCATATTTCACTCTCTCTTTCTCTCATCATTCTCTCTGCATCTCTCGCTCTTGTAACTCTTGCGCGCGCGCTCTGCGTGTATGATTAAATTTTCCTTCGCGTCTAATAGTAAGTTTCTTGCTCGAGCCAGCCTCCTGGATTCCGGCGGAGGTAGAATCGTCTCGTCTCGTCGTAGATGAAGATGGCGAACATGAAGGGAAGGGCGGGCAACCACCAGACGAATCTGAAAATACATCACAATGTGATACTTGTTTTTTTTATTTTCTCTTCTTCTTTGCTTTATAATATTATTTATACTGTATATTATTATTTATAATATTATTTATACTATTATATTTAATTTCTTTTTTCTTTATTCCTTTGAAGAATAAAGTGTTGATTGAGAAATTGTTTTCTCTAGATATCTATCTATATGGAAGTGGAAAAAAAGGCGATTTGGCGAAAAAAAAAAAATAGACAGAGCTCACTTGAGAGGGAACATGCGGAGACCCTTGTCCATGCCGGGTGTGTAGCTTAGGAACGCGGCGAGGGCGGTCTCGAATATTAAACCGAAGTTGAGGGCCCAGTTTCTCATTCCTTGGTGGATGATGGAATTACGTCGCGTCTTACATACGATCAAATCGGCCCATTGAACGATAACGATCGAAACGAAGAAGGCTGTGTGGCAGGTAAATTCAAGTGTTTTACGATCCCTGTATGTCTGTCGAGAGAGAAAAGAAAAATATTAATGAAATCCATTTTTCTATTTTCTTCTTCTTCTTCTTCTTTTTCTTTTTTTTTTTTGTAAAATAAAGCTTAAACATAGAAATTTCTGCGATTTGTAAAATTATTTTCTTGGGGAATTAATTTACCCATTCCTGGCCATAGCTGTCACGAAGATCATTGATCGCCTTGGAGTCCCATTGTTTTCGAATACCGAAAAGATGAAGCGGCAGGAATCCGTTCTCAGCCATGATCACGAAGTAGACGAAGAAACCGGCGGCCGCCTGGATCATACCGATCTGACCATACGCCATCGAAATAAGCCTGTGCATAGAGAATCGCATTTAGACAATTGTCGAAGGATGGATTTTGCGTCGAGATTCTGACTTTCAAGGAATTCTTTTCCGTCTAGATCTTCGTGAAAATTAAAAAAAAAAAAAAAAAAAAAACAAAGAAAAATAAAAATCCGAATCAACGAAAATTTATTTAAAAAAACAAGAAATTCAAATTTCTATATTTAGCGAGACTATCGAGTTAGATCTAACGGAGAGAACGATCTAAAGAGCAAAGGATCTAATTAGGATATTAAGCTGGCTTTACTACTTCATTAAAATATATTTTTAACACGTGTATTTCCTTTTCAAGGATAAACTATTGGAAACTCTTTGAAAGTCAGACGAAGCACTGTATATACGTGTATGCCACTAATCATCTAAGTTCGCCTCTAACAGCCTAAAGTGGTGTTAATAACTAAACTACGGAAGCCGTAGTCACCTAGGATTGAAAATGCGGATTACTTACCGAATGTAGGCGGAAACACGATCGGTTCTTGACACTGAGGCATGCCACACAAAGCACAGAGACACACACACATTTCACATTTCTGGATGCATCGCCAGCCAAGCCTCACGGTGCACGATTTGCAAAGAAAAAAAAAAAGAAAAAAAAAAAAAAAAATAATCGAGCAAAGTGTACATGCAAAACAATTTCGCTCGGTCGAACCGTGAGACGTTGGCGTGTTGTTAATTAGTAAACGAAATCGAAGCAGCGACAAGTATCTTCATTAGTATATATGTGTTTCAATTTAATCGTGGAGTTGAACAAATTAATCTGGTTTTTAAAAATTTTTAAAAATTTAAAAAAAAAACTTCGATTATTTCGATACTTCTCTTCCACGTTTCCATATTCGTATCGATGTTTTCGAATTTAAATTACGTATTTTTAAATTTTTCAAATGTGGATGAAAACAGGAATGATCCAATCCCCCATTGATCGACTCCACAATAACCATAATAAGCGACATTCCCATGCAACAGGCCGCGCGTGTCACGCATTATCATCAGTCTCGGTTAGCTTGGTAAGGCGTTGCAGATCGAATAATAAAATAATAATAATAATAATAAAAAATTAAAAATCATATAGGCGTATAGACAACAGAATCGCGTGTAAAGCGCGTTGCGATGGTTCGATACGAGTCGGTCAGAAATCAGGATAGAGAAAATAGAGCTGGCTAAGAAAAAGGCGTCGAAGACTATGAAAATAAAAAGTTACAAGCTGTTAGTGACCCACTATCTCTCGTTCGTGTTATAGTTTCACGTATCAGCCTTGTAGCGTAATCGATTCGTTAATTTTTAGCTTAAAACTTGTTGCTCTCTATAACAGGCCGTGCTATATATCGTCATTAATTATTAATATTTATATCGTTATTAGTACAAATATATCGCTAAGTTCAAAGCAGTTCAGCTGTTGCTCGCTTTTTTTTTTTTTTTTTTTTTTTTACTTTTTCCATTCATTCGCAGTTTTCTCTCTACTATTCTATTTTCTTCTTTTTCTATCGTATTTTTTTTTTTTTCTTTTTTAGTATACTTTCCAAGCTTTAGTATCGCACACATACGTAGTGCAATCGTTATAAAAATATGTTTAGAAAAAAAAAAAAAAAAAAAGAAAAAAAATAAGCTGCTTGGACCGTCTTTTTAATTAGGCGCAAGACGAATATTAGGCGGTTAGTCTCGTTTCGTTGGATTTTATTTTTTTTTTTCACTAAGTGTGGCTAAAGCATTCGGCATTCCCAACATTGTTATTTTCCTAGATTATAGATACTTGCTTGTGCTAACTAATCAACTAGTTTTCCTAGAGATTTTGTGTTTCATAAGCCTTCGAGGCGTATAGAGTGTCAACCGAGACTCTTTTAGAATTTTTTCCTTCTTTTTATAATTTTCTTTATATATTTTTTTTTCCTTTTCATCATATATACTTAAATATACTTTTTTTTCTAACGATTGTATACATTGAATTTCTTTGACAAATCTCTCGATCGGATATTTATTAATAATAGATTAGAAAAAAAAAAAAAATTAAGAATATTTTTCCAATTTGATATATCTTTTTTTTTTTTTTCA